CCAAGGCAAAAAAACACACATCACAGGTAACACCGAATGTAGACAAACATCTTGTTAACATGTTAAAGAAACAACCAAGTTATGGGATTGGCGTCGTTGCTTACTGGGGGGTTGCAGTTAACGGTTTAGGTGGGTCAACGTACAATGTTGTGTTGGATAAGTTGACTTGTACATGCAATGTGTACGATACACTTCAAGTGCCATGTTCACATGCATTAGCGGCTGCTCTACATATATGTGTTTCCTTGAATACCACGGCCGGGGAGTGGTACAATATGAGTGTATGGAAAAAAGACTACGCGGGTGACCTCCTCCCTATTCTCGGACCGTCGGACATAAATATAGGAGATAATTTTACGAGCGTGAAGAAGATACCACCGGTGACACACCAACAATCAGGCAAGCGTCAGAAAGTTCGGATCCCATCGACGAGTGACTTCAGTGTACGTTTCTTAATTTATTTGAAGGTATATTCATGTATATGATATATGCGTACACAATGTTAACAAAGTTCCTATACAGGGACAATCTAATGCGAAAAGCCTAAGAGCGTTAACAAGTGCAGTCGCTACCGCGAAACAGCGCATAACCGTGCAACTTGCAAGTCTGGAATCTCCTAAAATAGTAGCCTCATACCTTGCACCAAATAAGGGAATGCCCCCAACATCCACTGTAGAAGTAACCAGCTGACGTGCGTTTATGAAGACTTGTACACGCTCTCACGTGCATTTATAAAACCAGTTCTGGACGTTTGTCGTAAAGGTGGGAATGAACTTTGCTTCACTTAATTTAGTTGCTGTAGCTTTGTCTTTCCGTGTTGTTTTTATTTTACTATGTCATGCGTAGCTTTGTCTTTAGTGTGTCAGTCCATCTCCAAAGTCTTCACCCTTATCTAGTAGAGTCTATTGCATCATCACTCCATTCCTACTTTATCCACGTGGACACTGTTTGCTTTATCCGGTTATTGTTTTTTATTTTAATATGCTTTGGACTATGTGTATATTTATAACATCAACTAAAAAAAAACGAAACAAAATTGCCTAACTCACTTCCAACAAGTTAATTTACAAAAAATGAGCGACATTAACCTACATGATGATATCCTCGTTGACATAGTGCGCCGAGTTGGTAGGGAGAACTTCCTCTTCCTTGGACCAATAATGGAGTCTGGCCGACGAGGACTAACTGCTGTTCGAAACGAAGTCGTTCTGTACGAAACTAATCTCTTGCATTTCATCGCAAACGGTGATCAGGTCCGAGAGGGCGCACCATATCGTGGCTTATTCGTCCGTTGTTTGGAGAGTGGAAATGAAATAGCTTATCTGCTAGAAAGCCTACGGGTAGCGTACAACGAAGGCAATGTTTTCAAAGCCATCAACTTGGTCAGACGTGCATATATGAGGTCACTGTTAACTGTGTTTATCTTAGGCATGTTGCTGATATGCGCAGGTAGTTTCACTATAGGAGATCAGATACTTCGTGCTCTTCATTGGTGGGAGGACGTTCACCAATTTAACCTACTAGGGGCCATGGTGTACGGTATGATAGAGAAATTGGACCCTCCAAGGCGCAGCACTTTCACAGCAATATTCAGATGTGACCAGACGGCTTGTGGCTGTGAAGGGGAATGGTTTGGTAGCTGTATGAGGTGTTGTGTACAATATAACGCGATGGAGTTGATGTCCCTCTCTTAGAAACAAAGAACAGGAGAACAATGATGCGTACGTGTCTATGACATCGATGTACCATTACTTGTGTGTTTCTTTTAATTATCTGTCAACCGCTTATGTTATCGTTTGTGAAACTCACTTAATGTTTGTTCTATACTGGTTTTGGGACACTTAGCTACTTTTTCTTTTCCAATAATTAATTAACTATGATTATCCTATAAAAGCTATACTTGGTATTCATTTCGCTTACTACATAAACTTACTAACTTCCAATTAGTTCCAATGTTGGAAGAGATACATGACGATTTGTTGACACATATTATTAGAAGAGTTGGTTTGTCAGATTTCAGGGACCTCCGAGGAGTTATAGGAGCAAACAAGAGATGCAAATCGGTGGCCTTGTCGTCAGCTATGTTGAAGGAAACTGACCTTTTTGAAGTTCTATGGTTAGGACACCACATTGACCAAAACTCTCCCTATCATCTATTTTTGGCTCGGTGCATACATGCAAGGAATCAGACAGCAGTGCTAATGGAAGGGCTTCGGCTAGGTTTCATGGAAGAAAAACTAGATGAAGCCATAAGAAGAGTGGAAACATGCAATGGAACGAGTGTGTACATGGTGTATGTTTTGGGGATGCTGCAGATCTGCGGAGATGATCATGATATTGGATGTACGACATTGGCTCAGCTAAAATGGTGGGAAGATATACCTTAGTCAACAGAACTTGCTGAAACAATACGGTAGTCCATACTGGACATGAATCCAAGAATGAACAGCACATACAGGTTCACGCTTGAATTCCCTTGTCCACCATGCGATTGTGAGGGTGATGCTATTGGTAAATGTAAGTTATGTTTCGTGGTTTTGCATACAATCACACTTTGCACGTTGTCCTAGTACTGAATCAGTGTACTTTGCGATTATATGTGCGCAACTATCTTAATGTTTACGTGTTAACGCTTCCATAAGATTTAACTTTACTACCAAATTTAATATTCATTACGCTTCAAACAATTGCCATTCCAAATACAATACATTGCTAAATCAAACCCCGGAGAAGTATGGCAAAAGAATAGAATAAACAATTTTTGCATTGATGACCTAAATTTACACAAGGAGGGACGTGAACATATGACCAAGTGGATGCGACAGTTCCAACCGTACATGGACTCAGCTGTGAAACGTGCTTCACTTAATCACACCCCAAAGACTCGGCCGTTTTGAAATCAGGAGTCCGGTGCCAGAAGTTAGGAACTTCCAACATCGCGAGATAGTACTGTCCACTACAAATCATAAGCAACGGCTTCGCAAGTGAAGCAAGAGGTGATTTCTCAACCATAGGCTCCATGACTTCGAATGCTTTCTCCAAAATTTTTCTACTGTTGCTACCCTCATGCCTTCAAGATACGCCGCGTTGGGAACAAGCGAATGTAGATGGCTAAGGAACTTTAGCCGATATGGTGAAGTTTTATTTACCCTGGACGCATCCCTCATGATTTCTTCCATTGACACCTTAACATCATACAAAGCCAATGCCTCGGTACAATGGGGCTCCAACAAAGTTTCTTGTACTTCTTCAACCTCCGGAAGATGAGGTATAACGATGTTGTTGGGTAAGGCATGGAAGAACGGAACAACCTGGACGAGCTGCTGACCAAAATGGTTAACGTGTACATAACCCCACATCTTTACGTGGTTAGGTGCAAATGTACGAGATTACAATCTGCTTATAAATATGGATATAACGTTTACTAAACCGTCGTTTTTCAAAAATAAACTTTAGAAAAATATTAATTTAATTAATTTCTAAAATAACCTTTGGGAATTAAGTACTACAACCTGTAGAGGCGTACACGGTATTTAAAAATTACAAATTATCATTTTTCTTTGCTTTTTAATCTCCGAAACGAGGCATAGTAAAGGTGATATGATGTATTTTCCGTCTGCGACAGTAACCTTTTTAGTGTGTAGCCATAGGGTAGTGAACACTAAAGTATTTTATCATTATTGTTTTCTTTGGGAAACCGCGGAAATAATTTACAACTTCTCATTTTATTTAACATGGACGTATACCTCATCATTGCCTCCGACAAAGCTTTTTGTACTTCCTCAAACTCAGGAAGATGAAATCTAACGATGTTATTGGGACAACATGGACGAGCTCCTTTGCGTGGTCACGTGCACATGTACGAGTCTGATATCTGCTTATAATGTCTGATATCTGCTTATATAAAGGAGTATGAAAAAACCTTTTTCCTAAAAAACGCTTTGGTTTAATTTTTTCGGTGGTTTCCCTATGAAAATTATAATGACCAAAGACTTTAGTGTTCACTAAAATATGAGTACACGCAAAAGAGTCCACTGTCACAGACATGAAACCATCATATCAACTTTATCATCATGCCTCGGTCACCGGGATTAAAAACCAAACCATCAAGTTCTACACTCTTCCTAACAAACTTACTTAAACTAATAACAGTAGTTAACATCAAGTTATAATTTACACTACACAAACGACCAAAGTAGTAAAAACGAGTTACTTTATAAAGAGAACAGTAACTCTAACTAGTTATATAAGAACGAAACCAAAAAGTAACATAACCAACATAACAAAAGTATTAAAGTAGCGTGAGATACAAATCAGTGGACACGACACATGACATATTAGTCCTATAAATAAGGTAGAATAGCTTAGATAACAAAGGTATCAAACACATCAACTGCATACTTTTTCCTGATATTTAGTATAACAGCGTCTTCCAGTAGATCCATATCCTCAAGTGGACAACCCAGGGCACATATCTTATCAGTTTAATAGCCACATGTCCGCTATCTTCAACTTTCTTGACTTGGTACACGTCTTCCAACCTGGTCCACTTAAACGGGGTAGTTGAATAATCACTCCCAACGTTAGCACCAACCAAACATGGCATCATCTCAATAACAGGTCTCATTAAGTCCTTAATAGTTGGATCATTAGTAGCAGAAGCACAAGGGTCCAAAATCTCTACAACCCGGGTACTTGTGTTGATAATTAAACCAACCAATGCTTCTCTTGCCAGTATATCGGACAATATATCACAACTGCTTTTTTCCCCCAAACCATGGCTTCGGCTCTAGCAGGTAAGGAGCCTATGGCATATTGCTTAAGCTTTGGATGCCAAGTATAAGTACCAGAAAGATATTCGTTTTGAAAGTCCTTGTACTCCGTCTTCATTAATGCAACAGACCAATGATCCACTACGACAGCTCCCTTCTCTTTGAGAAAAACACTCAACTTCTGGCACAACAACTGGGCTAAAACTTCAATAACCTGACATGAAATGAAAACACATCAGGGAAAATGTGAAACTCGTGTACTAATCTGAATCTACTGTATAAATGTAAATCTATTGTACACATATCACTTATTACATATGTACATATATAATCTATTTTTCATGTACTCGTTAACGTACATAGCATTTTAAACACGTACATATTACATGACATTTTTCAACCGTACACCGTGTGTTGGGGTCGGTTTTCACCCGCTCAACATTAACATTCAAAGTCAGACAACTGAAAAAGTGACCCTCCGGACTCTCGACGAACAAGGCGGAATAGCACCTAAGTCTTCCCGCGAAGCAAAGCAAGTAATCGTGCGGTAAGTCTAGGCAAAGCAGGAAGCGTCGGGGCAAGGCGGGAGACCACGTCCTCGGGTCGACCGAGGAGCCGACCACGGCCTCGGAGCCGACCACGGCCTCGGCGCCGACCACGGCCTCGGAGCCGACCACGGCCTCGGAGCCGACCACGGCCTCGGAGCCGACCACGGCCTCGGACCCTCGAGGATCCGACCGCGTCCTCGGATCTTCGACGGGCCGACCACATTTTCGGCCCAGCAGCCCAATGACATGAAGACGACCCGATGACACAAAGACAGTCCGAAGCCCGGTCCAGACGCGAAGCCCACTTTGATGCAACCGACCTTGGCAAGGAAGGGATCCGCGAAGACTTAGGAAGTTTAGCCGCCTTAGAGATAGTATATATACTTGATGTAAAAGCCCTTGAGAAGATATTCGCAATCTTGTTCCCAAAATCTTACAGAGCAATAACAAACAACTTTTTCATACCTTTGTGATCTTAGCTAACCCTAGAAATCTCTACCTCTTCACGAAACCCTAACAAATCTAGTTGTGTTGGTTTTGGCCTCCACAATTTGGCGCCGTCTAAGGGGATTAGAGATTTTCTGTCACAACAAGCTAAGTTTCTACAAAGATTTAAGAAGATTTCTAGGAACAACAGCGGAAGCAGCGAAGGATCCTCGTCTCGCAGGAAGGACGAGGAGAATGAGAACTCCGTGGAAAACCCTGCACCTAACGCCGCTAACAACCCAGCGGACATAACGGAGATAAAGCAGATGCTCGAGACNCTCGTCAAGGGANCGCANGAGCAACAGAAGTTCAATGAAGCAACTACGACTGAGCTGAGGTCGCTCTCACGTAAGCGCAAGAGGTCCCAAATCAACCCACATCTCCTCTTCAACACGCCTTGGACCGGTCNGCGAGAACNGCCCAACGCGTTGCCACCTCGGACCGCTCGCACGGATCCGGAAGGCTTGCCTCCACCGCCGCCGTATCGGGACATCGATAGAACCCCCGAACGTGCTATGGAAGTATCGGACAATGATCAACCTCCTCATCCAAGACGTGTCCGAATGGACGCTGCTGACAGCGCTACGGCTAATGGAGAAGGAGCTCCCACCATGGCAGAACCTTATAGGAGGGAGCATGAGCGCAGGGCTCCACAAAGTTCCCGCGACGAAGAGGTCGCTGCACTAAAAGCACAGTTGGACCATGTCGTCTCTGACCTGAGGACTACTAAGCTACAGATNTACCGGAGCACGGGGAAGGCTCCTGGGGTTGCTTACGTGCTGGAGAAGGCACGAAACACACCCTTCGCTGAAAGTATCTCGGGGGCTAAAATCTCTGATCCCGGAAGGGTCAAGCTTCCGAGCTATGAAGGAACCTCAGACCTTGCTGATCATCTAATGGAGTTCGAGGTAGCCCTAGGGAGGGCAAACTTCAAAGAAGCCGAGAAGGACACCGGCTACTACAAGCTGTTCGTGGAAAGCCTCAAAGGGCCTGCCCTCCAGTGGTTCTACAAACTGGAGAAGAATTCGATTCACAACTTCCACCAACTTTCTGAGATGTTTGACCAACATTACAACATCTTTGCTGAACGAAAAATTTATGATGCAGAGCTGTGGACCAACAAGCAGGGTGAGAATGAGAGCCTGCGGTCTTTCATGACAAGGTTTAAGCACACTCTCGCAAAGGTAGACGGAATCAGCAACACGTCTGCACTGGAGGCATTGAGAGGAGCACTTCGAAGCCCGTCTCCAGCTGATTTTGCTCGAAGCGAAGAAGAAGTCTGAGCCAAGAGAGGCGGAAAGGCTAAGCAGACGAGTGAACCTACTNAGGTTCCAACCCCTGCTGCGCCAAAGAGAGGCAATCCCGCCTTCATCCAGTTCGAAGGAGGAGCAG